TACTTGCCTGCCCATCCAGAGCTTAATTTGTCCCTGGACTTGCGGGGGCAAGGTAAATGTTGTGAAAAGGGCTATTTACAAACAAGCAAATAGCCCTTTTTTTGCAGCAGACTTAGTGAGCTAGTCTTTAAGCATTGGCTTGTCGCCTTTTTTAAAAATCGGCTTATTTGTGTTTCCTGTTATCTTGTGTGGGCCAGTAAAAAATAGAAACAACTGTACTTTATCGGCGGAGGGGGGGGGAGGCAGAAGCTGGTGCCTGTTGGGAGCCAACTCCCCCGGAGCCACCTCCCCCCACTTGCTGCCTCCCATAGACGCAGCAGTGCGGGAGGGCAGGAGCTGCTGGCTCCCCACAAAGCCTCCTACACTGCTGCCTCTGATAGAGAAAGGTGGGAGCCAGTGCACATAGGAAGTGGCTTTCAAGCTGGCTCCCCACATGTATTGGCTCCTGCAGAGCTGCCCTCCCCCCTCGCTTTTGCCTCTTTTTCAGAATTAAAAGTCCCCCACAAGCACTGGCTTCTGCTCCTCCCCCCACATTTAAATGTGTAACTGCTTTAAAAAAATCCATCGGTTATACAAATACACATTAGAGAACATCCCAGATACGTTAGCTAATCTCCCATCCCACTCTGAAGCCACCAGAAAACTTGTTGTGAGAACCTTTTCCCTAGGAGATTATTCTGTATCACAGTTGGACTTCTGTGGTTATGTGGAGGTGGAAAATATTGCAGTCCCCATTGGTTCTAAACGACACCAGTGCTTAAACAGGTTATCACCAGCACCATTGCCACTCTGACTATGGCTAGAATAGATGTATATTCCTGAATACATCCTATAATGGCTATTTTGACGGAGTTGATCAGTGTTGCTGTTTCATTGCTGTGCGCACTGTACTGGGTCTGGCTAACGAATTAAAATGAATCACCAGCAGGTGGGTGTTCTCGTATTGATTTGGTGAAGTAATCCAACTCTCTTAAAATAAGATTCTGACATTGACAGTGGGTTTTGTTTTTTTTTCACTTTGGGTTACATCCTTGTCAGAGGATGCGGCACTTGGTTGATTGAATGGCCTTGAAATGTTCTTACTTATCAATGGATGATGGGATGGAGTTGCTTCCAGTGAGTGAGGGGGCAGGAGTCTGTAGAAATCTCCCCCCTCCATAGTATTTGGCAGCAGATTCTAAACCCATTTCCAGATGAATGTTTGGCCTGTGGGGTTGCACAGATAACGCCTCACCAGTCACGCTGGTAATACTTTGTCTGCTGAGTCTGTAACCAGACAAACGAGAACACCGAGAGCAGGGAATTGCACCATTTGTCTCCAAGGAGTGTTGACTCAGAAACCTAATGGTGACTTCACTGCCATCCTTACCAATGTCAAAGTTGATAGTCGCAGTAGCTGCACATGTTATCTGGCAGTTGGGGTGAAGTGATTAGAGTTGGGGACCATGGGGCAAATGGCTGGTGTTGAAAGTTGCCGGGTCTCTGTCAGTGTTCGAATTTCACTGAGGGTCAGATTCTTCTCCTGTCTAGAAGGAAGGTACCTGCCCCCAGCCCTGCAGTATTCCTTCCTCTCCTGGGTGCTCAAAATAGACTCTCGGCCTTTTACCCTGACCAGGACTCTTCCTTGCGGTTGTGGGATCTCTCCAGAGTAATCCACATCGGATCACTCCCATGTGCTCCTGATGATGCTGCACACTGACATCCCCTGGAATCCATCAGCTGCTTACTATCTCAGTGCTGGAAAAGAGCATGTGATGCCTGTATTTCATAGTTAATGTTAGGGTCCCTACAGTGTTGGTTGTAACCTGTAGACCCCTAAATGGCTTGGGTCCCTCAGACTGTCTCTTATGCAAGGAAGCTCAGTTGGAAATGGCTGAGGCACTTGGATAGGATGCTTGAGACAGTTTTGACAGTCGATACCATATTGCCTCCATCTCAATCCATGTTAAGCCCACATCTTGATTCCTGCATGCAGGTGGGGTGGCCCCAGGTCAAAAAGGTATCTTGGCATTGGAAAAGGGTTACAAAAGGACAACAAAAATGATTAGGGGTTTGGGCTGGTGGCTATACGAGGAGAGATTTATAAGACTGGGACTCTTCAATGTGGAAGAGAGGAGGACTAAGGGAGGATGTGCTAGAGGTCTATAAAATCAGGACTGGTGTGAGAGAGTAAACAAGGCAGCGTGGTGTACTCCTCAACCCAGGAATTAGGGCTCACCAAATGAAGTTAGTAGACAGCAGGCTTAAAACATAGTAGGAAGTTTTTCTTCACAGAATGCACAGTCAGCCTGTGGCATGCCTTGCCAAAGGATGTTGTGAAGGCCAAGACTATCATGGGTCAAAGAGCTAGATACACTCATGGAGGCTAGGTCCATCAATGGCTGCTAGCCAGGACGGACAGGGATGGGGTCCGTGGTCTGTTTGCCAGAAGCTGTGAATGAGCAACAAGATGGCTAGGTCCATCAATGGCTGCTAGCCAGGACGGACAGGGATGGGGTCCGTGGTCTGTTTGCCAGAAGCTGTGAATGAGCAACAAGATGGCTCACTTGAAGATTCCCTGTTCTGTTCATTGCCTGTGCTGCACCTGGCATTAGCCACAGAAAACATGATACTGGGCTAGCTGGGCCTTTGGTCTGACCCCGTATGACACTACGGGCCCTTCCAGAACCTACAACTAGCACTTTCCCTCTTTGCCTAGGAAAGCGTTAGGTGAGGTGGCAAATTGGGAGGATTTTGTGCTTTGCAAACTGCTTCCAGTGTTTTTATTGGATGTTTGTGTGTACCTGCTTCAGGTGGGGACACTCAAAAAATAAATTTCACTAAATAAAAACAGGCCACTGCCCATCTCTTCCCAGTGGCCAATGCCCTAACTGTGCCCCACCTGTTTTTTCAGAACACTATCTTCTCGACCGATTTCTAGCATAACTGCCATGTCAACACAGGGCAGCTCTTTGAAGCTGAATCGGAGGCAGCAGTGTCAAAATAAGGCAAGGACTAGGGAAAATGCTTTTTGAAGTATCAAAATTAGTCATAATGCATAAAATCCACAAGGAGCTTGAGCACCACCAAAATTAGCACTGCTATGTTGTAGAATCTCTCCAGTGAACTTGGGTCTGTGCTCTCAAGTGCACTGAACCCTGCCAAGCCTCTTCCTTATGAGCATGGTATCACACATGTTCCTCCCAGGCACACTGGCTTCTAGCTAAGGAGTACTGGATGTGGTTTCCTTCCAGACAGTAAACTCAGTGCAGTACTCCCAGGCCTTGCCGTAGACTCACTTTTTAAACCAATGCTTCGTTTCTACTTGTTTTGCAGTTTGCATCTCTGATTAGTCTCCAGTTAGTCACATTATCGGTGTTTCCTAAGACACTTTTCTTAAGCAAAATCCAAAGAAAAGCAATGCTGTCGTCGTCCATGCTCCTGTGACTATTGCTGTAATAGAGGGGGACAGTGAATGTAAATTCAGCTATAGGAAACTCCTTAAGACAAATAGGCCGTTAATAATTAATTCCATTAATTGTTCATTTTGTTTCTCTTTACCTGCCATTTCATCAGATACATTTGCAAGGGCATTTTGCATTTGAAGTGTAGAATGCATGCAAATAACGTGTCTGATCTGACATGTGAGTGAGGTGTCATTGAACCCGAGTCCTGATAGCCTACCGTTCATTACTTCATTCAGTTCAACCTCTAAGATTTTTGCCGTCCTCCAACGTTCATTTGATGCCCTCTGCTTTGGCAGCCAGTCTGGGAGGTGCTCTTGGGTCCACTCAGTCACATTTTATGCAGAACATGAGTTCAAAGACCCCTAATAAAGGTCGGCCCGTTCTAGCATATGTGCTGGAATTGACCTGATGCTGGGGCATCCACTGATTTACTAGCTGTAAATCTGACTTGGGGCAAATATTTTGTTATGCCACCGGGCACAGAACTGATCAGACCGTCACAAACTACTAGCTGAGTAATGGAATCAAAGAGCTGTGTTCTCTAAGGCATAGTTAATTATTCATATTCGTCAGCATGGCCTGTTGTGGGGAGAGAAGGCATGACTGTGTTCACAAGTGTAATTCTGAACATGTGGCCTCAGCAAAACAAGTTATAATTGCACTGGAGGGAATTTGAATAGGGAGCCTGGAGTTATCTGGATGGGGATCATTAGGGTCTGATTTTTATTTACATGTTCTTTATTCATAGGCTTCAGTTGCCAAAGTGGCTGTTGTGTGTCTGAGTTTTAAATGAGTCTTTTCTAGTCAGAATTCCAGACTTTATTTCACAGTTCTTAGTAGTCAAAGAAACCATTATTTAAATGTCTTTCTGATCATATTTTGGGCTAGATTAAAAATAGAATATTCTAGAAAAAGCGCTGGATAGGCACTTACTGGCTTTAGGTTTAAAGTGTCCAAGAGGGCTTTAAACCTAGAAGTACTGATCTCATGCATTTCTGGTTGCATGTGCCCTGACCTTGGCCAGTCCAATCATAGCTAATACACCTTTTCAGTGAAAGGTTCGACTCTTAGGAATTCTCTGCAGTTAAGACTAAGTACATGTTTACCAAGGGATTTGGAAAATCATTCACACTGTGCTAGATGGACATAGAACCTGCCTCAATTTCTCAAAGTGGCTAGCAGCCTTGAGGGTCTGTTCTCACAGGTGGGTACTAGCATTTCAGGCTGCCTTTAAGAGTTAACAGTAGAGTGGAAAAGCAGGGAGGAAAAGTCCCGACTAGAAAGAATGTGGAGCCAAATGGTTTTAGTATTTTGTTCTTTACGTACAACAGTTTGTAAAACTCAAGCAAGCCACATTGTCAGCTCTAAAAAGTGCATTTGTCTTGGGTCATTATAAAACAGCTAAATCATTGGAATTTTTTTCCTGAATGGAACCCCACAGGTGGCTGCCATGTTAGCCAGTGTGAAAGGACATTGAAATAACTGACTTTATTTTATTGGCTTGGACTGTGTTTCACTCTTCCCTTTTTTCCCCCCTCCCACCAAAACCTGAAGGACGAGAAGCTCACTGTTAATCAAGATGTCCCAGTGCATGAAGGGAAACCTCACATGGTCCACTTCCAGTACAAGATTACGGAAGTGAAGATCTCCTCCTGGGATGCAGTGCTTTCCAATCAGAGCCTTTTTGTGGAAATCCCTGATGGCTTATTAGCTGACGGGAGCAAAGAAGGGTAAGAGCCTAAAGTTGTTTGAGTGGCGCATATAGGCTTAGCTGCCTGTGGAAAACGTATAGCTTATAGCCAATGTGACATTGGGACTGCGTTGGCAGGAGGAAGGGGGGGAGTTGTGCTGTACCTCCACTCTTAGCTTGTAAATGTCAACATTCCATTATTCCCTTCTACACCAAAGCAGCTTCCTTGTGTTTGTGGTTCTGCATGTGTGTGTTTCCTCTGGGGATCAAAAGAGATTTGTCCTTCCTTTTAGCATAAGAATTCAGAGTGTAAAGGGCCAACATGACTGTTGGGTAGATAGTATTTCCTGTGGTAGGCCAGACTGCTTCCCGGAGGTGCACGTGACTGGATGCTTTATGGAAGGGGCTTATCTTGCCACATTTTTGGCACTTGGCCATTGGACGATGTTTTGGGAGTGAGCATTTCTATTGCCCTACAGATATTTGCATTGTCCCAAGCCTGATTTCCTGTGTCATCGGTTTGAGTTAGTAGAGCTCTTTGCTCTCCTGTAGCCATCCCAAAACCTGTTAAGTTTCTCTGATCTCCGAGATCCTGCAACTTCATGTTGCAATGGACAACGGATTTAATTACAGGTGTTAAGTCCATCTCAATAGGCAACACATCAGGATTTCCCTTTCACTCCTGCACTCTTTTCATCGCCATTTGCCTTTGCATTTCATTTGTTTTATCTCAAATGTAGATTTGTGCCTCAAATATTGGATCCAACGTCATATGGTACGTGAACATGTTCGTACACAGTCTAGCAGGGTGTGCTGCACAAGGGGGGGTCTGGAGTAACCCTTGTCTTTTCTGCAGTTCAGGAATCTAAGCCCATTGCTTCAGTTGGAGAATGGGAAAACTGCAGCAAGGGAGCTTAGGGTTGGACATTAGGAAAAACTTCCTGCCTGTCAGGGTGGGTTGAGCACTGGAATAAATTGCCCGGGGGGGTTGTAGAATCTCCATCACTGGATATTTAAGAGCAGGTTGGACAGACACCTGTCAGAGATTGTCTAGATTTTGTTTGGTCCTGCCATGAGGGCAGGAGACTGGACTCTATGGCCTCTCGAGGTCCCTTCCAGTTCTAGTGTTCTAGGATTCTGTTCTCCCAATCCCATGCACATAGATTCTTCTGTGAGGGTCTGTCTGTCCAAGTCACCACAGTTTTGTAACAGATTATTTTTAGTTGGGTACGGTAAGTCTAGAAGGTTTATAATTAAAATAGATCATTATCACATTAACAAAATCCTTTGAAGTTAATCTCCCCAGGTGTTTGCCAGTCTTGCTGGCTACTGTTTAATTAGATCTTGAAATTCCTATTAGTGACTGTTTCAGGTAGGGACGTAAAATAGCGTTTAAAATGTTAACTGCTTTAAACTGTTTCACCAGTTAACCGCCTGTCACGCCTGCGATGCGGTGGGCCCAGCTGAGCCGGGCGCCAGTGACTCGTTTACATCCTAGGAGTCTTAGATCAGTGACTTGTGGAAGCACGCAGGCTGAGTCCAGCAGTGTGGCTGTGATACTTGATTTGTTTTACTAGAGGTAGAAAATATTTCAGACTTTTCTGCCGCCTCACCAGGATGGCACTGATGGAAAAACTGCATCGTGGGTCTAAATTCTCACTGGCTCAGATGCAACTTTTCACCCCCCATTCCTGTCCTGTTTTGTCGGAGAACCTAAATAGTTCCTGTGGCTCCCATGGGGAGTGAGCAGGGCGCAGGTTGGCTCAGTAGCGGCCAGGAATGATGGCTTCTGGAATATGGTTGCCAAACATTCCTCTGCCAGAGCAGACTGGTGGTATGTCTGACTCATGGAGGCTGTCAGCCCAGCCGTGCCAGCAGACCCTAGTGCCGTAGATGCAGCCTACACCGACAGAAGGCTTTTCCTGTGGGTGTAGAAACACCAGTTCCGTGTCCTCTTGCATTGACGGAACCCGGTGTCTCTGGGGTCAGGAGCTCGTTGGCGTAGCTGTCTCACGGGCTGGCTTTTGTTCACACCCCTGACTCTGAGAGCTTCCCTAATCTGACTTTTCGGCATAGACTTCAGCAGTTGTTCTGTGATAGGAGGGAGAGCTCACCCTGCCTAGTGCCAAGGAAACTCCTGGATGCTTCCTTCCCATGCAGTGCGAGAGCTGGAAGGCTCACTCAACGACTGGTACTACTAACTTGTGTTACTGTGGTGCCTAGCTATAGATCAGGGCCCCGTTATGCGAGGTGCAGTAAAACCGACCAGCCCTGCCTTGAGCTTTGTCGTGGGAGTCTTCCTCCTGTGGTGTCCAGAAGTGCATCATTCCCAGGTGTCAGCGCGGAAGCATCTTGTTTGCCTCCGAGCACCTCAAAGCAGTTTCTCCTCGTAAGTCCGGCTGGCAGTGCCCAGCCGCTGCCTTGGGACTGGTAGCTTGGTGTGACTCTCCTTTCCCTCCTCCCTGCCAGATTGCTTGCGCTGTTGGAGTTCGCTGAGGAGAAGATGAAAGTGAGCTACGTCTTTGTTTGCTTCAGAAAAAGCCGAGAGGATCGAGGTGAGCACTTAAATCTCGGTGGCTTTTCCGTCCCTCGGGGTAGCGCGAAGCTGCTGCTCTGCAGGGCTTCCCCTGGCCACTTCCCCCAGTAGGAAGTTTCTTGATGTGCGCTCTGCAGTGAGCACAGTCAGAGTTAGCGCTCTTGTCCATTACTTGTCCCATAGGAAATGGCGTTCAAGTGAGCCCACCGAATTCATTGGTGCTTGTGAAGAGGGGGAACGGGATTTCTCTGAGGCTAGCTGTGGGCAGCGACGTTTGCATCAGGAAGAATTGAGTTGGCAGCAAAGTGCCCTTCCCCTCCTACTTCAGTAGCAAAGTGGGATCACTGATATCCCTAATCAGGGCGCACTTTGGCCGCATCTCCGCTTGTGGGAAGATCCATGCTGCAGCATCTAGAATAGACCCACTAAATCGAACACGGAAGGGCGCTCCCTCAGCACCAGTACTCCTGTTCTGAGGCGTACGGGAAGTTGATGGGAGCATGTCTCACACCACCTCTTGCTGTGAGGATGGTGCAGAAGCTCAGCTTACAGTACGTCAACTCCAGTTACGTGTGTTACTGGAATTGCATATCTTAAGCCGACCTTCCCCCAGAGTGTGGACCTGGCATTCATGCTCCTCCAAGAAATGAAACTGCGAGATGGCTGTCCTACCCCACGGGCAGTCTCTAGTGCCTTGTGGAGGTTGTACTTGGCTATGCCCTGAGATTGGTCCCTTTCGGGGTTCCTGAGTGGATTTTTAACCAGCTGATCTCCCAGCACTTCTGGTCTCTTCCAGACTGGTAGATAATGCTTATCCTGCCTGTGGGTGCTTATGACTTAAGGGGGATATGCTAGTGTCTAAGGATAGATGTATCCAATAGCTGATCAGAGCAAGGAAACCTGTGGGAATTTATAGCAAAGCACAAGGTTATGAATTGGCCAGTACTAAACCAGCTAAGACATGGGTGAGTGTATGTCTAGTAATCAGGGCCTTGTGACGCTAGTAGTGATTAATAGATGCAATGAAATTCTTCTTGCAGTTCTAATTTTAATTCTCTGCTTTTCAAAAAGGATTATTCTGGATGCCTTTGTGCATTGCTGGTTTATTTTCACATGGGTAGGAGCCCCTCTTGCACTAACCGTAGAAAAATATTTTTCGAGACTGTTCAGCTGGTCGTTCTGGCATTTTTGTTCTTGTGAACAGAAAGCTGGCAGCACACTTGAGTTCCCTGCTGCGGAGGCCAATAATAGCTGGTTTCTGGGAGAGGTGTACAAAGGCAACTAAAAATATTTTCTCTTGCTAGAGAGGCAGCAGCATGGAGGGGGAGGTACACACGGGAAGCCGGCTTGTGTAAACGGGCCTCTGCTGGAAACTTCAGGGGATGCACGTTGACACAAATAAACGCCTTGACATCCCTGCTTGTGACTGGGATGCTAGTGGAGCCCTGCTGCGGTTCCTTAGTAACGAGCGTCGGCAGTGCCCAGCCTTTGTCCATAGCTTGCCAGAGTGTGGGTTTGTGGGCTGACCCCACTCGGCCTGAGCTGTACACAAGGCCTGGGTGGCAAATCTGTACGCTGTGGTAGGACAGCCAGCTGCCTGAATGGAGGAAGGTCCCAAGGCATGGTAAATAATCCCTGATCCAATAAGATGCGACCCCTCGCCCCTCCCCCATATGTCATGCCCCGGGACCGATATAATTGCAACACTGCATGCTGTACGGATTTTGCCAATCAGTGCGGGAGGGTCTTGTGTCTAAGAGCTGGACTTGGAGCTCTGGGGAATTGGGGACAGTCACACAATCTGTGGTAACCTTGAGCAAGTCACTTAAATCTTCCTAGACCTTGCTTGCTGCTCTCTAAATATTTCTCCCTGCCTCCCCGGGGCAGAGGCTAAGTGGGGGAAGCAGGGGGAGAGGGAGCTGGCAATGCGGCAAGATAAAGGTGAAATAAAACTGCTACAGGGAAAAGACAAGGTAACAGTGAATCTCTGAGCTGACAGGCCAGCCTGCCTAAAATCTCCTTTGTGGTGAGCAGTCCAGCACTGAGGATACAGTGTCGGCCCCCACGCATGAGGGTTCACCCTGGGACTCTGCTGGGGATACATCTAACAGGGCATTTGACTCCTAAGTTAACAATCTCCCTCCTCTCTTTGGTAGCTTCACTTCTGAAGACGTTCAGTTTCTTGGGCTTTGAGATTGTGAGGCCTGGCCACCCCTGCGTCCCATCGCGGCCCGACGTGCTGTTCATGGTGTACTCCATGGATCAGAACTCTTCCTCGGATGAAGAATAGCCCCTGGGGCATACACGTGAAGATGCTTTTGAGGGGAGCCAGGGTTAAGTCCCCTTTCATGTGGAAAGGGAAAACAAGAGTCTGTTGGACTGAAACTGTATTTCTCATTGTTAGATTGGCCTGTATATCCTCAGAGTTGACTTTTCATTGATTGAAATGTGTTACATACATAGAGAACTATATATACACCCATAATCTCCAAATAGTAAATGGAAGATGTTTCTGAACTGGCATAGAAGCTCTTTAACTACAGCTGTGTGGTATGCTTGTTAACCTAGCAGTGCCTCATGCGCGGGCTGTGAATGGAGCCTGGCGTGCTGGGGGGTCAGTGGCTAGAAGCATTCTCAATTTCTTGACTTTTTCAATCAGTGTTGCTTTTTTCCGATCACCTGGTGTGTGGCGCACACTCCTTTTAAAGACTTGTCTGTTTTTATGTTCACTCAGACTCTTAACTGTCAGGCATGTTGTGGGTGTAGACGCGTAGAAGGGATGTGCTTGAGTTAACCTGTAAGGATACTACATTTAAAACTGAACCCATTTCTGCACGGGGGTGACCAATGCTGGGTACAGCCGACCCCTCTTAAAAAGCTTTTGGCTCTTCCGGCATTGGTGTGAGCAGTGATGTGCTGTTCCAGGGGACCTCTGCACTATGGGCGTGCTCAGGTCAACTGCACTCACCTGGCACGTGTTAGAGAGACTGCAGGGCTGTTGTGATGTGGCTCAGGCTGCCTGTGCACCCATTGTGTGGAGCAGTTGGGAGCCCTTAGGAAAGGGGTGAGCTATCCTGGTCTGCATGGGGCCACTGGTGTTCCAAGGCTCCAGTGAGATGGGTAAGGAGGGTGAAGTTAACGGATCACTTCTTCCATGATCTTCCTCCCCTCCATGCCAATGTCCATGCCCACGGCCAGTTCCAGAGAAGCTCTTGGAGGCTTCCGATGCTGCTGAGATGGGAATGGTCTCAAACACCAAAGGGAGCAGATTGTAGCACCGCAGCCTGCACTGCACTGCCTGCCCCTTCCCGGAGCAGTGCTCCTCCAGCGGTGGGAGGGAGAGGGTGGAGCTGGCGCTGGTTCCTATCTCGCCACCATTTCTAGTGTTGGAGATGGGAGTTAAGCTCTTGTATTGATGCCACTTGGTTTTAGCCTGGCTGGCTTGCTCTGACTGCTACATGAGAGACTTAGAAATCCTCCGTTGGGGGTGCGTTGTGCGCTCGCTCGCTGACCCAGCTGCCTTATCCATTGCATTGTCCTTGTAGGCTTCGTTTCCTCGGAGGATGTTTGAAAGCTGAAGCCATTCCATAGACTGAGAGTTGCTGTTTATTTTCTGGGAGGGGTGGGTCACATGTTGTTAGTGTGTGAATAAATGGTTTTAAAGTTGGTGTCTGTCTCCCTCCTTCCCCGCCCCTCAAAATGGAAGTGTTGGGATGCCCAAGTTCCCTGCGGCAAGACATGGATTGGCTGAGTTTGTTCCACAGCGCTCTAAAGCAGGCAGGCCACTCCAGGGCTAAGGGAAGAGTCAGACTTTTGAAAGGCATTTAACCAACATCTTCCAATCTGTATTTTAAAGGGCAGTTGGTTTATTGTTTAGTCTGTTCTTCTGAACGTCCGTCCAGTGCGGCTTACAAAGCTGTGGGGACGGTCTCGGCGAGGAGGCAGTAAGAGCTGTAAAACAACTCTCTGAAGTGTCGTGAAAGACGGAACACTCCCTGTTACTGCTGGCCGGCTGAGCTCCAAGAGGTAACCAGCTCCAAGCAGGTGAATCCTGGGATTCCATGCGATGTTAATTCACATGCCTGGCAATGTATTTGTCTTGCAGTATTTCTCGATTGACCAGATTTCTCTCCAAATCCCAGAAGTCTCCACTGTTAAAGTATATGATTTGGCGGCTTTTTTAAACCATGTTTTTTCTGCTTAATTGTTTTTAAGATCTGGATAACATTGCTTTGTTTACATAGAGGATGTTTAAAAGCTGAAGCCATTTCGTAGACTTTCATAGTCACTGTGTATTTTCTAGGGGCAGAATCCTGGGGTCACATGTTAGAGTATGAATAAATGGATGGGTGTCACCCAACAATGTAATTGTAAGTAGGTGTGAATACTGTCATCCAAGTTGAGGGCAGTAAGCTGTGATATTTCACCATATGTGATTGTTCTAATCTTCCCTTTAAAGAGCTGGAAGATAAATTGCACTTTAAGGCCTGGTCCACTCGATAGAGTTTTGTCAACAAAAGTTAAGCTGACAGTCAAAACCAGATCTGACTGTTTGTTCATGTGCACACAGCGCTCCTTTCCTTAGAGTGAATCCACAGTGGTGCTTTAGTGCGCAGTGAGTAGTGTTTCCTGTAAGCTCAGGGCTTGGGCAGCTGCCCAGGAGAGTTTGATAATCGACTAGGTGGCATCTTAGAGTGCCCAAAACCAGCAGCAGCTTGTGTTCTTCAGGTGGTGCATGCTTGCATCTCTTGGTGCGCACAAGTTATTCTGCACATGGAAGAAATGAGGGAACATTGAATGTGGGCAGTTGTCCCACTGTGCAACTTGCAGGCTTCTGCAGCTAGGAGTTGTGGGAAGATGGAATGGATTGGTGTGCGTCATGGGTATGGGCTCGCTGTCCCATAATGCAGCATTCCATGGGCTTCCAACGGTGTTTTGTAGCATTTTTTTTCAACAGGCCTGCACGCCTGCATATCTGTCTGCTGAAAGGCCAGATCTCTCTCTGCTGTCCATGTGGATGGTCATGCAGGGTCATGAACTTTCCAGTGTGAACTGGAATCCGTTGCCTGGCCCGCGTACCATGGGAAACCCAGTACTCGATTGCTCTTGCTGCGCACAATGGACAGTTGCTTTGGAACAGGATGCTGAGCCTGCGTTGTTACGCAGATCTGCGATGAGCAGCGGCAGCAGAACTTCTGGATCCAGAAAACCACTTGCCAGGAACTGAGAGCAGGGCAGAGACCAAACTTGAGTGCTGCCCTCTTGATGGAGAAGCCTGTAGTGATGGCTGCGTGGACGCTGGTGACTCCAGATCACTATCCGGGTTGCAGAGCCATTCCTTGCCTCCTGCTAGGACTGACTCTTGCAATGTGCGTGAAATAGTGAATGGCTTTGGCAGTAGGTTCCCCTGAGTGCAGTGAGGTGATAGCTGGCAGGCACATTCCCATTTTGGCTTGGATTGTTTCGGGCCAGTACAGCCGTGGAGGAGGGGGGTACTTCTCTGCTGTTGTGGGTGCTGGTGGTTCACTATGGCTGTTTCACTTGCATGTTGCCCCTTGTTGATACCTTCAGGAACGCTGGCCTGTGCAGAGCACCAAGCAGGGACTTTCTTGTAAGGCCAGAAGATTTCACTGAGGGATGCTGAAATGCCCATAGGGATCCTGGAAGACCCAGCATACCCCTTGCTCCAGGAGCAGTCTTACACAGAAAACCTGGAGAGCAGCTTAGTACGCTTCCAGCAACAGATGGAGCAAGTTGCAGAATGACCAGAGGATGTGGCTGTGGCAGATTAAAAGCAGGGTAGCGCTGCCTTATGGTTATCTGTGCACTCAGCTGCCAAAGCCTCTGAACAGTTACAAACCAGCTGGGGGAGCCTAGTGCTCAGGCAGCTAAACCGCCCTGAACTGCTGCTCTTGGAGGAAAATGAGGCGGTTTGGCTGAGCTGCACAGGAGCAGGCTGGTGCGGATTTCACAACTCCTTGTCTGTAATTGTGCCTAGCCCTGTGGCTATAGCAACCAGGCAGCTGCTCTGGGGCTCTCAGCCCTGGCCAAGCACCATGGAGTTGGCCACTGAGAACCTTGCTACTCAACGTCTGCTAGTTTTTTGTGGGCACAACCTATTTGATCTTGAAGGTGCCCTAGGACTGCTCATTGTTCTTAGTTACAACCTCACAACACTTTTTCAGTTTGTCCAAAAATCCTGCTAACTGTCTCCTTGTACATACACATGGCCACGTCAGGAAGGGGCTTATAGATACAAGAGGCCTTTGATCTTCAGCTTCTGAAAGCCTACAACTACAGCAACCACCCAGCTTATAGTTCCCATAATACTGAATCAGCAGGATGGTGCAACCAGGCTGTGGTTAACAGCTGTTCTTGCATAAGGAGCATCCCCCCTACACTGAAGAGAGTGTTGAAACACAGAGCAGGAGTGTCTCACCTCAGTGTTAGGCATCTTCTCCAAGGAGCAGCCTGGCTGGAAGGAAGGGGGCATGGCTTAGTTGCCTCTGCCCCTTGGAGCATGGGGGTCCTGCCATCCTTGGGCACAAAGCACTGGGGTTCCAGATCCAGCCCTGCCTATGTTTTCCTGGGGGAGATGCCTGTTTGCTGGGGCATTCGCTGCAGCATCCAATTGCCAATCAGTGGCAGGACAGGTTTGGCTACTGCCAGCAAATGTTAACAGGTGGGCAGGGCAGAAAGAAAAAGCAATCCCTCTATTTGTGATTGTCTCTTAAAAAGATTTATTCTCTCTCCTTGCCTGACTGGCCCTGGGCAGGGAGAGCGCAGGTGTGTGTATATATATATTTATATATATATAAAAAACAAGGAGCTTGGTATAATGTACACTTTACAGAAGGGCAGAGTCAGGAAGACTGAAATTAAACCCAACACAGCAACGCCAATGGAAACGAGCTAAACATCAACGCGGCAGCCCCCTGCTCATGGTGCGCCCAGTGGGGAGGGGGGACAGGACTCACCAGACAGCCATTAGGACAAGGGATGGGCCTGCAGCATCCTCCAGCTGATCACCCTGCTCCCCAGCAGGGGGTGCTGCTGCACCAGGAACATTGAACATGTCAAATCTCAAACTGGGCTAAATGGTGTCTAAACACCAAGGGGCCAGCTTGAGGGGGGCCTGTGGCAGGGGCTGGACCCTGCCTGTGACTGCTGGCAGCAGCTGGGCCCAGCATGTTGAATCATCCCCCCCCCCCCCCCCCCCACCAGGGGGGGGGGGGGGGGGGGAGAGGAGCCATGACATCACACCAAGGTAGCAGGAACAGAATCACTCCTGTGCTGCCACCGTGCCCTGAGCCATCTCCCCCTCGCCACCATGCAGAGCAATCCATCCACCCCCAGCGCTCTGCAGGAGTCTCAACGGGCTAAGCCCAGGACTCCCCCTGGGGTGAGGCTTTGCCCCCCCCCAAGCACCCCTGCCAGGCAGACCACCCCCCTCAGCTAATCCAGGCCCCAGGGAACTCAGCGGGCAAGTGGCAGATGGAATCTTTGCTTAGGTTGTGGGTGGCCTGCAGGTGCCAGGCAGGTGCTGCTGCATTTCCC